GGCCCCCGAGCCGAACGGCGGCCCGAGGCCCCCGACGGCCGGAGCTGGCCCTCCGCCTGCTTGTCCGACGGTGCCAGGCGCCCCCGACCCCCAGGATGGCCCCGGGGCCACTGCGGGAAGGCCGCGCCTGTCGCCCTCTGACCCCGAGGTCGTCGGCACAGAAGCCGAGTGCGCCCCGCGTGGCCTCTCGGACGAAGAGCGCCCTGGAGATGCGGCCCCTGGCGAAGAGGATCGGCCCCGCCGAAAGGTGCAGCGGCCCGTCTACTTCGTTAGTGAGGCCCTCCGGGACGCCAAGACCCGATACCCTCAGGCCTAGAAGATGCTTTACGCTATTCTGATGGCTTCGAGGAAGTTGCGCCATTATTTCCAGGCGCATCGGGTCACGGTGGTCACGTCTTACCCCCTCGGCCAAATCTTGCATAACCGAGAGGGTACTGGACGGGTGGTGAAATGGGCAATCGAACTCTCTGAATTCGATTTGCGCTTTGAACCACGCCACGCGATCAAGAGCCAGGCCCTCGCCGACTTTGTGGCGGAGTGGACCCCAGCTCCCGAGCCCGTCTCCGCCCCCGAGGCCAGCTCGGGCCCCTCGCAGCTGCCTCACACCGCCTACTTGGTGATGCAGTTCGACGGCTCCCTGTCTCTTCAGGGCGCCGGTGCGGGGGTCATGTTGACCTCGCCGAGCGGAGACGTCCTCAGATACCTGGTCCGCCTTGACTTTCGGGCGACCAACAATATGGCTGAGTACGAGGGACTCCTTGCGGGACTCAGAGTGGCAGCTGGACTGGGGATCCGCCGCCTCCTGGTGTTAGGCGACTCCCAGTTGGTCGTTAACCAGGTCTGTAAGGAGTACCGGTGCTCTGACCCGCAGATGGACGCTTACGTGCGCCAGGTGCGGCGTATGGAGCGCCACTTCGACGGGATAGAACTTCGGCACGTGCCCAGACGGGATAACGCGGTCGCCGACGAACTCTCAAGGCTCGCTTCCTCGCGAGCCCAGACCCCACCGGGCGCCTTTGAAGAAAGGCTCGCCCAGCCGTCGGCGCGACCCGACCCCCTAGGGGAGACGGACGCGCCTGAACGGCCCCCGAGGCCCGTCGGAGTCCAGGCCTCGGGATCCGAGGGGAGCGCTCCCAGCTCCCCTAGATTGATTGCTTGGATCACTGAGATCCAGGCGTACCTCGCAGATAAGACTCTACCCGAGGACCGCGAAGGGAGTGAACGCGTCCGGCGCATCTCCAAGCGCTACGTGCTGGTGGAAGGGACCCTCTATCGGCGTGCGGCTAACGGAGTCCTCCTGAAGTGCATTCCTCGGGAACAAGGCGTCGAGTTTCTCGCCGATGTCCATGAAGGCGAGTGCGGAGCCCACTCCGCCTCACGCACCTCGGATGGCAAGGCCTTTCGCCAGGGTTTCTATTGGCCGACGGCTCTCAACGATGCGGTCGACCTGGTCCGGCGGTGCAGGGCGTGCCAGTTCCACGCCAGGCAAACCCATCAGCCGGCCCAGGCCCTGCAGACCATACCTCTTTCGTGGCCGTTTGCTGTCTGGGGGCTCGATATCCTGGGTCCGTTCAGGCGGGCCCCGGGCGGGTTCGAGTATCTGTATGTCGCTGTCGACAAGTTCACTAAGTGGCCCGAGGCTTATCCGGTCATCAAGATCGATAAGCACTCCGCGCTTAAATTCATCAGGGGCATCACTGCTCGGTTTGGGGTGCCTAACCGTATCATTACGGATAACGGCACCCAGTTCACTAGTGAGCTCTTCGGTGACTACTGCGAAGACATGGGCATCAAGCTCTGCTTCGCCTCCCCCGCCCACCCCAGAAGCAATGGCCAAGTGGAGCGCGCCAACGCGGAAATCCTCAAGGGCCTCAAAACCAAGACCTTCAACATCCCCAAGAAGCACGGCGACTCGTGGATCGAGGAGCTGCCAGCGGTGCTCTGGGCGAACCGAACCACGCCAAGCCGAGCAACCGGGGAAACGCCTTTCTTCCTCGTCTACGGCGCGGAGGCGGTCCTCCCATCTGAGCTCACCCTGAGGTCCCCTCGGGTCACCATGTATTGCGAGGCTGATCAAGATCAGCTTCGCCGAGACGACCTCGACTATTTGGAAGAGCGAAGGCGGCGCGCGGCCCTCCGAGCCGCGCGCTACCAGCAGATCCTGCGGCGCTACCATCAGCGCCACGTCCGGGCCCGATCACTCTGCGTCGACGACCTCGTCCTACGCCGCGTCCAAACGCGTGCTGGACTGAGCAAGCTCTCACCAATGTGGGAGGGTCCGTATCGAGTGATCGGCGTCCCCCGGCCGGGCTCCGTTCGGCTCGCCACGGGCGACGGCACAGAGCTGCCTAACCCGTGGAACATCGAGCACCTTCGTCGCTTCTACCCCTAGTGGGGGTCGGGTATCATGTCTCGGGCTCGGGCCAACCCCGCACCCCCCGGGCGTGCAGAGTTGGCCGGGGGCTACCACATGCATATACTTACCTTTTTTCTCTTCCGTATTTCAATAAAAGCATTTTCGATTTCTTGAGGACTGTGTCTGTGCCATCGTTTTCCTTTTGAAGAATCTTGGCTTGAATTAGCACGCTCGTGCTCGACCTTGCCCTCGGCGGCCCGGGCCAGCTAAAATCGCCAAACGGGGCCCAGAACCGAGCCGTGCCCCGGGGCGTGGTGAACTTCGGGGGGGAATCGGCAAAGGCCCACAATCGGGTCATCCATAACCCTTGGTCACCGCGCTCCCGGCCTGGCCAGTCTCGACACGTGGATCTCCCCAGGCACTAGCCCCGACCCGCGCCGTTTGAGGCTGGGACCTGGGCACGAGCCCTTGTTCAAGCCAAGACAAAGAAGGACCGCGGCACAGACCATCCTCGTCTCATACACACAACAAGCAGAGCTGACGCAGAAATTTCCTCTTTATTTGATTACAGATTAAATCAGTCTATACAAGAAGGGGGCCCGAAGGCCTCGGAAGAAGAAGCAAAAGTTATTAAGATTGGCGGGGGCCTGGGGGCTCACTCCGACGCGCCCGGGACGTCGGCCTCGTCGTCGCTGTCGTCCGCACCGTCGTCACTGCCCTCCTCATCGAAGTCGAGCGCGAACGCGAGCCGAGGGGCCGTACCCTCGAAGCTGTGGACGATATGGTCGGTGGCGTCCCGGACCTTCGCGCGCGCGCCGTCCTCGGTCCCGGGAGGGAACTCTTCCAGCGCTGCCCACGGGGAGAAGTCAGGGTCCCTGGCCTGGTAGCTTGCCAGTACGAGCTCCACCGCCCCCCGGGCGAGGTCCCTCGAGGATGACTTGATCGTCTCCTCGAGCTCCTCGGGGAGTCGCTCGAGGGCCCCGGTCATCTCTGAGAGGCGCTGGGCGAGGCCCCCCTGGTCCGGCTCAACCATCTCTGTTCCCCATTCCCCATTCCCCATTGTCTGCAAAACCCTAGCTCGCCGACGGCGATCTCGACGGCAATCGTTGCAGCGCCGGCGACGACAACGGGGGCTATGGATACGGCGCCGGCGACGACGACCCACGATGTAGAAGTTCCCCTGAAGATCGCAAGTTCACCTGCGACATCATCGTGCGCAGCGAAATTGCCGATGGAGGGGATGGATCTGGGAGGCTCGATTCCTCCTATTTCCTCGATACCGTGAGTAACTTGAACTCGAATATACTCCTTGGATAGCTGATGTAGAAGTGCATTGGGTATTTCATCGTATTTACATGTAGATTTTCAGTTGATGTTCTCTCCTTTCATGGTAGGCACTGGTTTTCAGTAGAGGTTAGGGTTGGAGCTTATGTCATGATAGAAACAGATGGTAGGAAATCTTACACGAAAGGAGCTACTCGGCATTGGGTTGTGGATTCAGATAGCTTTTCCATGGAATTTCTGATGAATACTTTAAGTGTTGAGTTCACCTGGGGAACAAATCAATCTCCTTCAATCTGGTTTTTGCACAAGGCGATTGGTGAGGATGTTAGACTTGTGGACAATAGTCAGCTACCTGACCTATTCGAAATGTACAAAACAGAGAGCCAATTCAATCTTATTGTTTCAGTGCTTGACAATAAGATGGATGGTACATCTGAGCCTTTATCCACCCTTGTCGAGAATGAAGTAGAACCCATATGTGTTGTGCCTCCTGACAACTCTGCTCCCATCATTGGTTCTGAACAGCCCGCTCCCAATGTTGAAGGTGTTGAAAAGCCTGCAATAGAGGAAGAACCTGTTAGAGAACCAGACATATTTGACAATGAGGAAGAATATGTGGGTGTCGATGATGAGCATTTGTATGTTCCCTCACAACCTAAAAAGCCTCCACAGTTTGCTGAACCCGATGGAAACACTGGCACTGGTCAGTCTTCTCAGCCTCCTGTTGCAGGGGTGAGAGCTCCTGAGGAGTAGGTTACTGATGAAGATCCATAGGTCTTTAATGTCATACGTGACCCTGAGAATCCAAAAATAGAGAAAGATGCATTATTTCCTGATATAATTGCTTTCAGAAAAGCAATAAGGCACTATGCAGTTAAAAAAGGTTTTGTGTTTGCTGGTTTGAAGACAGATCCAACACGTTTTCTAGCCCATTGTGCTGCTGAAGGGTGTCCTTGGCGTGTTCATGCATCAAAGCTACCTGGGACCAAAGTCATACAGGTGCTATGGTTTGCTTCATTTATTTATTTTGATTAGGCTTTTGATTATGTTTGTGTAATGCAATTTTGTTAATTATACATGTTTAATGCAGATCAAAGTTCTTCCCTTTGAGCACACATGTGCATCTACCAAATTGCAAGAAAACAAGATGGCAACTCAAGGTTGGGTTGCAGACAGGATTGGGGATTGGGTCAAGAAAAACCCAAAAAAGGGAGCTAGTGATGCAAGGCACAAGCTTGAAGAAGATTTTCAGATAAAGTTGAAGTATTCGAAGGCATGGTCTGGGTTCAAGTGTGCATTGTAACATATACATGGTAAATATGAAGAGAGCTTCCAATTTCTTTTTAATTGGAAATCTGAGATGGAGAGGAAGTCCCCAGGGTCTATTGTAGAGATTGATGTACAGAAGATAGGGAAGAAAATGTGCTTCAAGAGGATGTTTGTTGTTCTGAAGCCTTGCATAGATGGCTTCCTCAATGGCTGCAGGCCCTATGTTGGTGTTGATTCAACAAGATTGACAGGTAAATATACTGGTCAACTAGCTGCTGCCACTAGTGTAGATGGACATAATTGGTTGTTCTATGTATCCTATTCAATTTTTGACTCTGAAACTGATGAAAATTGGTTATGGTTCATGAGACACCTCAATAAGGCCATAGATAATCCAGAGGGCCTAGTTATATCAACAGATGCTTGTAAGGGTTTGGAAAAAGCTGTTGATGCTGCATTTGAAAAAGTTGAGCACAGAGAATGCATGAGGCATCTCTATGCTAACTTCATGAAGAAGTTTCAAGGTCCTGCCTTCACTGATCACCTGTATCCAACTGCAAGAAGTTATACTGAGGATGGATTTAGGTGGTACATGCAACAAATATACCAAGTGAGGTCTGATGCAATAGAGTATCTTGAGAAGCATCACTCAAGGATTTGGTACAGATGTGGCTTTTCTGAGTCTAGCAAGTGTGACTACCTCACAAACAATGTTTCTGAAAGTTTCAATAACCAGATCAAGAAGCTTAAAGGTCTGTTGTTGCATGAACTTGTGGATGGGATCAGGGAGATGATCATGGAGAAGATGGCCCTCAGGAGAGAAGTTGGTAAAAAGCTTGTGGATGGCATCCTGCCAAATGTAATGAAAGAATTGAATGATGCAACTGTCTGTCTCAGGGTGGTAAAGGTTGTTAGAAGCGATGAAGGTTTCGCAGAAGTGACACTTGTTGAGTCTGACAACAACACTAGAAGGCACACAGTTGATTTACAGAACCAAAACTGCTCATGTAGGGTATGGCAAGTTGAAAGCCATGCAAACATGCATTGGCCTGGATTTGCACTAACAGAGGTCGAATCCAAGATTTTGTCAGTCCCTACTATAGTGTTCAGACCTTTAGAGCAGCTTATGCAGCTAGAGTGGCAACAATGACTGATAGGTCTCAGTGGCCACATGTAGATCTTGGCTTCAAGGTATACCCACCTAGGTAGAAGAGAGGTGCTGGAAGACCTAGAGTGCAAAGAATAAGAGATTGTTTAGAACAACCTGGCAGGAAGAGAGTTACATGCAAGAGATGTCAGGGTTTTGGTCACTTTGAAAAGATATGCAAACTTGCTGAGCCAGTTCATCAAGATGAGCAAACAATCCAGCCAACAACCAAAAAAAGGTAATTTGGACTTCTTTCTATTTAGTCCACAAATTGACTACCTCAAAACTTCCCTAATGGTACTATCTGTGTGCAGGAAGAGACAAGTGGCTGAAGCTGCAGGTCAGGCCGAAGCTGCACCAGTCAAGAAGAAAAACCCTCCTAAGAAGAAAGGAGTGCCTGGAGCTGCAGCTGAAGCAAGTTCATCTGCACCTGTCAAGAAGAAAAATACTCCTAAGAAGAAGAAAACTCCCCAGAAGAGGAAGAATCTTGTTGCTTCTACTGCTCCACCCGCTAGAGTAGTTAGAAAATTATCAGACTAGGTTGGTCTGTGATGTAAAAACCCAAACTTGTTTATTTTGCTGCTTGTAGATGGCCATTTGGACTTGTTAGATATTGGCCATGGTAATGGGCTCCAAACCTGAAATGTTCTGTCTTTTGTGTGCTGCATGTTGGTCTATGCTACACTCCTGAACAAGTTATGTCAGTTGCTACACTTCTGAACAAGTTTATGTCAGTTATGTGAGCAAGTTATGTCATTTATGTCAGTAAGTTTATGTCATTTATGTCAGCAAATTTATTTCAGTCACCATTGCACATAAACAGCTTCTATGTTAGGCAGCAGATTATTTGCACCAGATTCCAAAATATAGCCCTTGCATTGCATTCCCCAACTTGCACAAACATAAATACACACACCAGATTTCACACACCTAAGGTACATCACAATATTTCACACACCAGACATCACACAGAACATCTCCTAAACCTGCCTTATCATTACAGCAACTAACAACACATAGAACAAGATCATCATGGACACAATTGTGCGAGTCCAAGCCTTCTCGCACTCCAATTTCTTCTTTAAGTCTGCACACCCCAACTTGGACTGATTCAAAGCTTCGTAATTGGCTTGCAACTGCAACTCTTTTGCCTCAGCCTAGGCTGACAACTGAGAGATATGCATGTCTTTGATCTGCTATAAACTGGCGCAAACTGTCGCATGTCTCTCTAAGATAGTCGTACTCGTCAGCATGACAGTAAGCGACCATCTCCTCAACGTATTCGTTGAGATCTTCCCAAATCCACAAGGCACATCTACAATTCTACAAGAAGGAAACCAGATTGGATTCAGAAAGAAAATCACACACAAATATGCACAAGTAGGACTGGATTCTCACCTCCCCAGGACACTGCAGCCACCGCCGCCTTGGATTCCTTGGTGTGTTCGATGTCTGCACCGCAGCGGCATGCCCACAAGCACATTTCAGCTCTGGGATTGAAGGAGCCACCGATGGGACTCTGCACCTTCTCGAAATTGCAGAGCGACCACTGCCACTGGTATAGCTCGCCTCCAAACTCGTTGCCGCGTTGATCCGTCTACGCCGGGAGAAGCTATCGGTAAAGCCGCCGCCGTATCCCTAGCCCCCGTCGTCGTCGCCGGCGCCGTATCCCTAGCCCCCGTCGTCGTCGCCGGCGCTGCACCGATCGCCGTCGAGATCGCCGTCGGCGAGCTAGGGTTTGCAGACAATGGGGAATAGGGAATGGGGAACAGAGATGGTTGAGCCGGACCGGGATGGTTGGCTTGTATCGTCTCAGCCAGGGGCACAAGCGTCCATACGGAAATACGTGCGAGGACAAATGGCATGGATGGCAATTCAGACGTATATAATGGCATGGTTCCAATTTGGAAGAAATTGCGATGGCACCCAGCCGGTTTTGCTAATTGTAATGGCATATTTCCAAATAGCTGAAGTTGTAATGGCATGGTTCCAATTAACCCAAAGAAACAAACAAGAGATCGATCAAAAAAATCAGTCGCATTCCAAGGTACTACGGAGTAGGAGTACAAACCAATGAGAGCCAGCGTGGCACAGAAGAGCGCTGCGCCGCTGACGATTGACGAACACGCACGAGCCCGATTTTGACGCGTTCGTTCCCTCCTGTCCCAGCACACTGAAATCCACTACTACTTGATTCTGCCGCCCAATCGCTTCCAGTTCCAACAAATCAGAGCCCCCCTCAACTCACAAAAAATAAAATTTCCCCCCTTTGTCCCACCCTGGTTCTTGGTTCTTGGAGTTTATAGAATCATTCCAAACTTGCAAAGTTTGACCTCTGCCAACTTCCCCTCTTGGAGGAGGCGGGGAAGAACAGTCGCCGGCGGGGAAGGCTGGTGATTTCGCCGGATGCGGTTGCGGCGGATTGGATCGGAAAGGAGGCATCTTGGAAGCAGTTCGTGGAATTCGTAGCAACTCTGAAGGGGGAAAGCTGCAGTTTTTTCAACTCCTCCCTATTGCGTGCGTGGAGTGGAGCCACCTCGCCTTCTCCGCCTCCGGTTAGCCTTCGCGACTCTCCTTCTCTGCTCCTCTCGATCTCCTGTCTGCTTGGCCTCACGGTGTCTCTGCGCGAATCAATCTCCATGGGTGCAGGGACCTGGCCATAGCGTTGGCGACTCGACGGGTGAGGAGTTCTTCTTGACTGGGTTGGATTGGAGCATGCAGTTTATTCTACTCGCTGGGTACACGTCAGTCAGTGTTAAATTGCAGATTTTTTAGCGGATTTTTTTTTACAGTTTACAGGGGATCTATTTGGGTTTCATGGAGGTTAGCATTTGGGTTGTCAAGAACATGGATGTGTTTTTTTCCTGTTCGAATGTGACGTTTCAGGCTTTGGTGGCTCCTATGCTGCTTGGTTGTTTTCACAAGAATTTCTTGGCCAGATGTGTACGCACACTGTAATGGTTCTGCGGCTTGGACTTCTCTCTCTCTCTCGTTTATGTGGTCCAGAACTAGAACGAATCTTAGTGGTATAATCCAGCTGTTGACTTTGTTAGGGCCATCAATTGGGTCAATTTCTTGTTTATTCGTGCTAATAGAACACGCTGCCTGAAAGAATGAAAAATTTGGAGGTTTTCTCTTCATTGTTCCATTCTAGAAGTGGTGAAATATCTCGCAAGTCTGGGAGCAATAGGTCGCAATCATACATGCTTTATCTTAGGTGTCTATCTTGCTGTGGCCATTAATTGGAACCAAAATTGTAGGTGGACAGGTATCCAATACCCACAGTGCAAAAGGGGCCAGTGACAGGAACTCGGGAAGCAGTGGAAACAAAGGCCAAAAAAAACAACAAAAGGTATCTGCATCAAGCTCTGTGTGGTTATCAGAGAAGAGAGCTTTGCTGAATTCACAGAGCAGCAGGGAGGAGAGATGGCGAAGAAGAAGCTGAAGAAATTGCATGCCAAGGATGCACTAGAATTTTTCAACCAGGTCATGGTGGAGCAGCCCTTGCTCCCCTTCCTGGTCCCTCTTGTCTTGTTTGCATGGTTTGTTGAACGATGGGTTGTGCCATTCTCAAACTGGGTTCCCCTGTTGGCTGCTGTATGGGCAACAATTCAGGTAGTTTTTCCTTCCCATGGTATTCATATGGATAAAGTTGTTCTTTGATGAATTTGGCTTGGCTTCTTTGATGTCCTGCTGAATTGTCAGACAAATAGTCCTTTTCTAGGTGTTGAGATAGTACTAATTTACTGCAAGTATTGCTTGTTGCTTGGTTTGGAAGTGCTGATCTATTCTTTTGAGTTGCAGAGTGTTCATAATTCTGAAAAGAATAACACAGAGAAACACCTCGCCCCACTTTCTAGAGTTTATTTTGTCTTCTTACTATTTTTATTTTAATGATGAATGCAGTATGGGAGGTTTAAAAGGAGGTCAGCCATAGAAGATTTGAACAAACGATGGAAGCATCTTATACTGAATACAACAGTATATTCCTTCACTTATTTTTTTTTGTTTTGCTCTTTATACATGAACTTTTAGCAATACCCCTTTTGTATCTCTTGTAGCCTACGACGCCAATAGAGCCTTGCGAGTGGTTGAACAAACTTTTGGTAGAAGTTTGGCCCAATTATATGGAACCAAAACTGTCAAAGAAGTTTCAATCTACTGTTGAGGTCAGCTTCTGCACATTTGCTAGATAATTTTATGAATCTTTTGAGCACTAGGATGCTAGAAAATGAAGGTGCTATCATTTGTGAAAGTTTCTATTACGTCTAATAGTTTTTGCTTGGATGTAATAATTATTGGTTTTAAAAGCTTTTGGAAATATACCTTTTGAGTTTCTTTGGTGATGATTATCTCAAAATAAAATTCATTAGAAAATTTCTCAGCTTGTTGTAAAACAACAACCATGTTTGTTGCCCAATTGTTTTAACCTTCTCCAATCTTAATAAAATTGGCTGGGGCACTTCTTCGCTGCCGGCCTGGCCATTTTTTTTTCTCAGCTCCATTGCTCCTATTTATTTGTTGTAGTCAAATAGTCAATATGCATTGCAAGATATGGTGCACACTGGCTTCTATTCTGCTTTTTTTATAACCAGCTGACCAGTGAGTGTTCTCTGAATTTGCAGAAACGTTTAAAGCATCGAAAACCAAAACTAATAGTAAGTTCTCTTAAAGTTGTTTATCCTCTCCTGCTGCTATTCTGACTGTAGTACTAATGATTTGCTTTTATATCTCTCCAGGATAAAATAGAGTTACAGGAATTCTCACTTGGTTGTTGTCCACCTACCTTGGGGGAGCATGGGATGCGCTGGATGACTTCAGGTGACCAGGTCAGATATTAATATTCTGTACTGTGTATGGGATACTCACCTGTGGTAAACTTAGAGAGGGAGGAAATCATTGCCTCAGGCACTGATCATTATTGAAAGAACTGCTTATGCTGTTTTTAGTTCTACAGAATTATAACAGCGGTGATTTAGCTTATTTGCTCTGCTTCATAAATTCCGAGTTGTGCTGTTTTGGGTACTAGTTTGGTTAACTTATCCTTACATCATTGAAAACACTAACGAATGCAGTGTCATCAATGGTTTATTCACCTTTTCTGATTATAACTATGCATCTGTATAACTAACCCATGTGTTCTTCCATTATCTGTAACTAACCCATGTGTTCTTCCATTATCTGTTAGGAATATATAACATGTTCTGCAGCTCTTCCTGATCCTGCATAGCCTTAGTCATTAGTTGTTCCATCTTGAACAATATTATGTTGTAAGTAGGAGAGGCAGATGAAATACTTCTGTTGGTTGTACAGTTGCACACTTCAACTCTCGTTTTTTGAACATGCAGAAAGTCATGCGCTTGGGTTTTGATTGGGACAGCAATGAGATGAGTGTAATGTTTTTGGCAAAATTAGCAAAACCACTGATTGGCGCTGCTCGAATTGTTATAAACAGCATTCACATCAAGGGAGATGTATGTCCTTTGCTCTTTCAATTGATTCTGTTACATTGTTATTGTTATTGTTATTGTTATTTCTCATTTATCTTGATTTGAGAGAGACTTCTTTTGAATTGGTAAGCAAGAATTGTCGCCAGCTTTGCTCACTGAGATCGCAAAGCTGATAATGAACAATCATGATGAACAAAAATGGTTTTGGCTTTTCGGAGTCATTCCTGTCCTTAATGGTTGACATAGGATATTATGATGTAGTTAACCTGCCTCTCACATAGGATAAAGTGGCAACCTTATTTTGAGCTATTTCACTTTAGCGTTTTGTTGAAACACAATAAATTTTGTGTGGATAAGAACTTGGATCACCACTTACGTTAAAATCTTTTATTTGCTTTCTTGTCCTGAGTATTATATCTGTATTTGACGATTATTTTCTTGTCTAAGCGCATTTTCTAGTTGGCTCATCAGATTAAGCTCTTATTTTCTTCGATTTAAACTATATCTTTGCAGCTTCTACTGTTACCCATCCTTGATGGTGAAGCTATTCTTTATTCTTTTGAATCCACTCCAGAAGTCAGGATAGGAGTGGCATTTGGAAGTGGTGGAAGCCAAGCAGTTCCTGGTATGGAGCTACCCGGTGTCTCAACATGGCTGGTGGGTTTGTGTGTGCCATTTAGTTAGTCCTTGGTATCTTTGCAATTCTTTTAGTGCAATTACGGCCATTGCGTATTGAAATTTGAATGCTAAATGTGATGCTTCATGAGCCATGCAGGTTAAGCTTTTGACCGAAACCATAGTGAAGACAATGGTTGAGCCTCGCAGATTGTGTTTTTCTTTGCCACCAGTAGATTTAAGGAAACGAGCAGTTGGAGGTGTTCTTTCAGTCACAGTTGTTTCAGCTAGTAACGTTGGGAGAAACACAACTAATGAAATAGGGATCCGCCAAAGCTCAAGTGGAGGTTCTACATCTGGAATTGCTGATAACAAGGTATCACAGACATTTATTGAGGTAGAAGTTGGTAGTTTAGTGAGAAAAACAAGTACAAGCAAGGGTCCAAACCCTGCATGGAATAGCACATTTAACCTGGTATTGCATGGAGAGACAGGTGTTGTCAAGTTCAATCTGTATGAATTGGACTCTGGTGGTGTTAAGGTCACCTACTTGACAAGCTGCGAGATAAAGGTATGACAGTTAAACTTATTATTTTAGTCAGTTTCCATTGCACATGATGCAGTTGTGGTTCTTCCAACACATCTAAAGGATGCTGATGAAAGTAATGTAAACAGGTCAAGTATGTTCTAGATGATTCAACAATATTTTGGGCTATAGGACATAATTCTGGTGCTGTTGCAAAACGTACTGAGCTTTGTGGACAAGAAGTTGGAATGGTTGTTCCATTTGAGGACATCAGGGGCGAGGTACATCTCTATAGTAACTACTGATGTGTTGTCACTGTTTCTCTTGCATCCAAAACCTGTTTTGGATATGCTGTAACATTTAGAAAAATGGATTCCCAATTGATTGAAGTGCTAATTAGTTTTATCAAGCCACCGAAGCAAATTTTCACTAGCCTATCAGGTTTGAAATTATGCCATATTTGATATACTCGATACAAACTGTGAAGTAACAGATTTTAGGAGTTTAGGACCTCAGGTCCTCAGCTACTTGTATAGCCTAAAGTTCTAATGACCCATAGTCCTACATTTGATTTTCTGTTGAACTTTATTTACAGTTGGGTTGTTTTATAAATTACAAAAGAGTAAGTTCGACCTGTTGAATTGGTAGCGCTTTTGGAATCAAGATCGGAAGAGAGAGGATCAGGAAAATGTTCAGCCCTTTTTTTTTAGAAACAACCTGTGGAAGTAACAATGGTTTCATTCAGTTGGGCTTGAGAGCTCTGGAGATATAATACATAAAGGATAGACTACTGATAGAGTGACCAGAAATGTGGGGTTTTGATGATGAATTATGATGTTTCTGTTCCCAAGTTAACAATTTTAGTGGAGAACTTCCTTTTATCATTTCTACCGTGACATTCATGAAGGTTCCAACAATAATGTGCCCATTTTTCACCTACCTATTCAACTGCGAACTGGTTAACTGTGCCATTTCTCCTTTTCTAGTTTATTTGGTCTGGATAGTTGTGTAATACTGTTCCAAACTCTTTCCCTTGCAGTTAACTGTCACTCTTGTGCTAAAAGAATGGCAATTCTCTGATGGCTCAGTTACGTTGAGCAATTCTCTGAGCAACGGATCCCACTCTTCATTTGATGTATCGCCCAAGCTTCAGTCCAGAACAGGACGGAAACTCAGAGTTGCAGTAGTTGAGGGTAAAGCCCTTGCAGTTAACGGTAAATCTGGAAAGTGTGATCCATATGTGAAAGTGCAGTATGGAAAGGTTTGTTGTTACCTTGCCCAAAGTTTAGCTTCACTTACTATTATACAAGTTGGTATTCTAATCCCATATTCTTTTTATAGGCTCTATACAAAACAAAAACACTATCTCATACAACTCGACCGGTTTGGAATGATAAATTCGAGTTTGATGAGATCACTGGTGGTGAATATCTCAAGATCAAATGCTATAGTGCAGATACATTTGGAGACGAAAGCATTGGCAGCGCAAGAGTAAATCTAGAAGGACTTTTAGATGGTGATAGCCGTGAAGTATGGGTTCCACTTGAAAAGGTGGATTCAGGAGAGATCAGGCTTCAAATAGAGCCAATAAAGAGTGATTTCAACGGTATCCTGAAGGTATTTGCCTTCCTTAAGCATTGAATTTTAATATTGCGAGGATTCTTAATTCAGAAAAATATATACATTTGCGAAATCAGCGTCAGAAACATTTTTTCTTAAGAGGATGCGCAGTAAAAATTTTAAATTTGGGATGTTGAGTACAACTATTTTTCTACACATGAAACCTCCAGCAACATGTTCTATATCCTTGATTCTGTACCAAACATTAGTTTTATACCGTTTGCTCTGTTGTACCATTTTGTCTACTGATGTTTCTCTGGATTCTGTATTGTTCTTCTTAAGCAGACTTCAAGTGGTAGAGTTGAAGCTACCTGGATTGAGCTAGTGATAATTGAAGCTAGGGATCTTATTGCTGCTGATCTCAGAGGCACTAGTGATCCTTATGTCAGGGTGCATTATGGGAGCAAGAAGAAGCGAACTAAGGTTTGGTGGTGAACCTTTCTGTATTTAGTTATTTACTATGCCTTTATTAGGAAATGCAGCATGCATTGCTTTTCTGACATGCGAAATGTGAATTTGTTGGCGTTTTGAAGTAATAGAAATGAACAAATATGCTGACACAGTACAGCACTTGGCATCTTCAGATGGTGTGCATATGATCAATTCAGATTAGTCCAAATCTTTCAGCCTGTAGCAGTCCGTGCTTGGTTTAGAATAACATAAGAACTTCAATAGGAAAATGGGCTTTTCAAAGGTCCTCTACGAGGTGCTACGAATTAACTCTTGAAAATGTGGTACCTCCTCACATACTAGAGGAAACCTATAGAGCAATAGCTCGTTAGTTTTAGTATGTTATTATAAAAGGAAAAAACAAAACCTTTTTTGGCGCTAATTGGAGACTGGAGAATTATATATGGTCATTCTGTTCTACAGATACTATGAATCACCCTATAAAAAACAATCCATTTGATCAGAAATTCTGAGTAACTCATTCCATGCAGGTTGTTTACAAAACACTCTCTCCAGATTGGAACCAGACATTTGAGTTTCCAGAAACAGGAGAACCCCTGATTTTACATGTCAAGGACCATAATGCAGTCCTTCCAACTGCTAGTATAGGCCAATGCACTGTCGAATACAGCATGCTTCCTCCAAATCAGCCCGCCGTAAAATGGATACCACTCCAAGGAGTAAAAAGCGGAGAAGTCCATGTAAAGATCACGCGAAAAGTACCACACTTGGAGAAGAAAACAAGCTTTCAGACTGATGCATCTTCCCTTGGCAAAGGGCACAAGATATCATCGCAGGTGAGAGGCTTCGTTGGTTTGTTTGAACGATGTCTCTGCATAACAATATTGCCACATTCCTCTCAGTATCCTCTTTGGTATGCATGACAATTTTGTGATGAACATCATGTGTTTTTTTTCAACAGATGAGAGATAGCCTGAAGAAATTCACAGGTTTAGTTGATGAGGGTGGCGACACAGAGGCCATGTCACTGGCCTTGACAGAGATTGAAAGCATCCAGGATGAGCAAGACATGTACATACAGCAGCTTGAGCGGGAGAAAGCGGCTTTGTTGCGTAAAATACAAGAGCTTGGTTCTGAAATCGTCAGAACATCCTCTGGTCCGGCAAGGATGCCCTACTAGTTAACAACCAATACACAGGAACAAAGAATAGCCTTCACAGTTGTATTCATTGGCAAAGACCTGAATTATTTACATAGAACTATACTCTAGTGCAGATATGTTTTTGAACGAACCGGCACAGAGTGTGCCAATTTCATTGAATATAGCATAGTGCAGATATGTTACCATGTAAGTAGATACACAGCAAGCAAACCACAAACTCAAGACTCAGTGCAGTATATTTTGTAGTGCTGAAAGACCAATCAGTCCATGTAACTTACTCTATAATCTATATATATGTACACATCAATACATACAGACAATTTAGGTGAATCCTGAAATCCTTGTGTTCTTGCATCCAACCTGCAATGTATTCTGAAGAACTGGACAGGAGAGAAGAGAAGAGATATACTCCAATCACAAATTCCTAATCAAATGAATGTACTACATGTTTCTTGTGGTTGGTTTATGCCTGATGGTTAATGTCCTGCAATAGTATACTCCCTCCGTCCCATAATATAAGGGATTTTGAGTTTTTGCTTGCAACGTTTGACCACTCGTCTTATTCAATTTTTTTTGAAATTATTATTTATTTTATTTGTGACTTATTTTATTATCTACAATACTTTAAGCACAACTTTTCGTTTTTTATATTTACAAAAAAAATTGAATAAAACAAATGGTCAAACGTTACAATGAGGGAGTAGTACATTGCCGTCCTATCTTTTCCTCCATTATTACTGCAATCCACATTTTCAGGCGTTGGTGTCCCTGGACATGAAAGGCACGGACCATGCAGAGCCTAGGACGGCGAAAGGCTACCAGTTTATGTGGCGCCTAAATTGGAAAGCATTTTTGCAGTGGACATGCACACCGATCAAAGCATTTTTTGCAGTGACTTTGCTTTGCTGCCGCCTCCTATCTTAGCTACTGCCATGGCTTACCGGCCGGCTACCCGTTGCAAAGTCAACTGATGGAGTAGCAGCCAGGCATCAGAGACCTTGGTTTGACATTTGGTCGATTTACAAAATTTTTCTTCCAACTTTCAACTTTTCTATCACATCAAAACTTTCCTACACACATAAATTTCTAACTTTTCCATCACATTATTCCAATTTCAATCAAACTTCCAATTTTGGTGTGAATTCGATCGATTCCATCTTCGTCTTCTTCCTTTTCTTCTTCAGGAGACAGAAGATGAGAGCCTTTTTTCATGGTGGATAACTGTTTTTTGCATTTACTAGCTATAGCTACGGGTGTTTGATTAGCATCATTTAATTGCACCATCCATCCACTAGAGGTGAAGTGAAGTTCTTCTCAAAGAAAATAAAGAAGACAGTAGTGGTAGGTACTGGGGCATTGATCCACCGTAGATGTAGGAGGACGACAGCGCAATGCTGCTGCTGTTGGTCGAGATGATTGGTACTAGTTCAGCCATATATATATGGAGGGTTATAGAGTTTATTTTCCTTGCAAGAAGGAAAAAAGAACATCAACCTTTGGCACCAGATCATTTTGTGATTATTCTCAGCCGGTGTGTAAGTGTGGTGTAACTTTGGTGAACTCTAGCCCAAAACTAGCTTAGAATAATCACTAAATGACATATATGTATAGGGAATACTTATTTTATTTGTTAAAGTATATATGGTTATAGGCTGATCTGGGATTCGCTTGGCTACTTTCTATTTTATCGTGAGGACTTTCTAAATTGTTAAATGTTTTTTTTTAAAAAAAATCACTATATAAAAGTTTCTTTAAAAATAAAACAAATCTAGATTTTATGTTTATGATAGGTAGTCCATCCGTCACAAAATATAAAGGATCTTAGATGGATGGGACGACACATCCTAAAACTACGGAATTCTTAATTAAACACGCATTAGTGACCTATCTCGATACGGGTGCTGCTAATAAGCTAAGGCAACAACTTTTTCTTGCGAGCCCCAAAGTTATTATGATAGGATAGGAAGATTAGTTTTCATCTTATATCTCTAAAATTGCTTAAGATCAATCAATCCACATTGCATATATATATTAACCTTGTAAACAAAGTACTCCTAGTAATAATTAAATAGCAAATAGTGGGCTGACATTGGACTAATCCCTCCGTTCCATAATATAAGGAGTAGATTTTGAAGGGATGTGATGCATCCTAGTACTAAGAATCTAGACATGAGCCTGCCCAGATTCGTAGTACTAGGATGCACTATCTGTCTAGATTCGTAGTACTAGATGCGCTACATCCCTCCTAAATCTCTTATATTATGGGACGGAGGGAGTAGTGTATAGGTAACGAATTGTGGATAGCGAGTGCAATTACAGATGCTAAGTTATAAAAAAAATAAATATAGGTTATTTATCAATAGTAACATCAAGTTTCACATAAAGTTTAGATACATTTCATAGCATAAGAATTATAAAATAACATCAATAAGATATAAGGGGTAAGTCCTACATGCCCCTTCAAGTGTCGCAAAAGTTTGATTTACACCCTCAACACCAATACCAGACATTTTACACCCTTCAACTTATCAAAACTGGACAAAGTTCCCCTTAGCCCAATCTAAAGTGGTTTTAATCCTACATATGGCGATAGTTTTGCTATGCGGCTGTCCAACCAATGAAAAGGCCATCGATATATTTTAAAAAGTATATAAGACCCCACATGTCAGTCTTATCACTATCTTCTTCTTCCTCCCCCCTCCCTCTAACCAAATCTTGATCCAAGCAAGAGGACACGACCACTACCTCAACACCAACAAGGAGAACCGTTGTTGCCCCAGTTCTCTTGACCGCGCATCGAGGAACCATCGCCACCATCGTTAGGAATGAGGGAAGCAGGGCCCAGGGCCCACAAGACCGAGCAAGGAGGGGAGTGGGTTTTGGTGGCAACAAGGAGGGTGGGAGAGCAGAGGGAGATAGGAGGTGAGGCAAGACAATGTTCGAGCTCATCATTGTCCTCGAGGGGAATGTGGTGCTTGGCTCAGTGACGATGGAGGGAGGTTAGCTGCACACCCAATGAGGACCGTCATCGGTCAGATCTAGAAGGAGACCACGTACTTCAATGTCCCCTCTTAGCGTCGACTATGTTGCCGCCTGCACTCCTCTCCGTTGGCACCATGGAGAAGATGTAGGGACCTCCTTCGCTCTTCTTGACAGCTACCATGTCATGCCGTTGTCACAAAGTGTGCTCCGAGGCAGACAATGTATATGCCACATAGAACTAAAACCACTTTGGATTGGGTTATTGGGGTGACTTGTTTGGTTTGAAAAGTTGAAGAGTCATGAACTTCCGGTATTTAAGTATCTAGAGGGAGGTAAATCGAGCTTTTGCGATAGTTCAGACTCAACACGACCTTAGTTTTGTGAAACCATGTGTGGTTATAGTTCTTTTGTGATGGGAAATTGACAAGTACCGGAAGTGCAAGAAGTGTGTGCGTGGACTAACATTGGTCAGATTGCGACATCTGTGCCAAGACAACGGTTGTTTGGTTCATGTGTGTGCAGGTGATCGGGGTCGATCTTGGTCAACGGCGGATCGGGACTAGACTCAGGGAGGAGTTGAGGTCCAAAGCGATCAAGGATGCCGGGTGACAAGATTGGACATAAGGTTGCACACGGTGGACGAACACCGTGTGAGGAGGTCTTCGCAACGGACTTCGCAAGGTCAAGTGCAAGTGCCGGGTTCGCGAACAGAATGGAGAATGGAAGAGGAGCTTGTATACATGCACTGGCATGTGCATATGCAAGCATGGACAGTGGTGCTTCGGTTGTGCATGCGTGCACATGGCCGAATGTCATGCACGGGCGCAAGACATGCATGTGTGCATGAGGAGCTTGCTAGCCCATGGGTGCATGTGAGCTGTGATTGGTTGGCAGGGAGGCCAAGCCAATCCAGCCCTTCCTCATGGCTCAAGATGATGGATGGATCAGCAGGCAGGGAGGCCAGGCCGAGCAGGCCCAAGACAAGACGACGGCCCACGGCATTGGCACCATGCGCGGGCAAGCGCGGGAGATCGCGCGAGGCACGCGCGCGCAGTGGACACGCGGCGGCAAGGAATTCGGCGCGTGCGGGCGTGGGGTCCACGCTGTTTCAAGTGGCTCGGAGGCGGGAGTTGTACTGGGACCCACGCGCGATTTCGCGAGCATGCGTGGGAGCAGCTCGGCGGGACACGTGGAGGCTTTGGACTGGATGCGCGCAGGTGAGCGTGGGATCCACGCGGTGGAGCGCGCGCTCTCGCGTGCTGAGGCGTGACGTGGCGGCTCGTCACTGGTTTGGAGAGGGAGCACGCGGATCAGTGCGGCGTGGAGAGTTTGGATCAACGACGTGGCAAGCATCCAGGAGGCTTCCTTCGGTTCTAAGGAAGAATGGGTGGACCAGATCCATTCTGAGTTAGGGTTTCGCCCTAGGGGTATTTGAGACAATGTCTTAGGGGTCTTAGCCTATAAATAGAGAGATGGATGCAAGGGTGGATGTTGCTCCTTTGGCAATCCTTTTGAGATGCTCGGTGAGAGAGTTTCGGTGTGAGTTTGGAGTGTGTTTGCCCGAGAGGCTTTTGTATTAGGATTAGTTTGGAGTGTGTTTGTCTGAGAGATTTTAAGTTTGTGTTAATGTTCCTCTGAAGGTGTATGCTTGCTCCTAGTTGAGCGGTTATTTTGCATCACCTATAAATGAAATGATTTGAAGGATTTCATTTTTGCCTTGTCCATTTAAATTCCGCTTGCAATTTGAACTTTGCGATGATGAGTTTTGCTCTCTCTTCCTCACCTCTCTTCTAGTTTCGGGAATTCCTTTTCTCTTCCTCCTCTAGTTTCGGGAATTCCTTCTCTCTTCTTTTGCTCTCTTCTTTTCTAGATCCGGCTTCTCTAATAGCCGCGGTTCTAGTAAGGATTTTGAGAAATCCGGCTTGATGAGTATTTTCGGGGGCAAGATTTGAATTGCTATATTCACCCCCCCCTCTATAGCTGTTCTTTGTCTTTCAATTGGTATCAGAGCCCGGTTAAGTTCGTTGTAACCTAACCGTGGCAACGAACGCAGCTATGGAGGAAAAATACTCTGCGAAACCATTTGTTTTCGATGGACACAATTTTGTCATTTGGAAGGCACGAATGGAGGCCTACCTCCAGTCGCAAGGGCATAATGTGTGGAATAAGGTTAAATCACCTTACACTGTGCCCGATGATGCTGACATCACGCCTGCAAATATGGCTCAGGTTGATTTTAATTATCGTGCAAGAAATGCAATCATTGGTGGAATTTCTTCTGGTGAATTTAATCGTGTTCAACACCACAAGTCTGCTCATGACATGTGGACTGCTCTGTGCAATTTCCATGAGGGAA